CCGCCAAATTATATAAATTTTAGAGAAAACCATAAATGAAGAAGATATGTAATTTATAGGATGGACTGAAAAATGTGACTAAATTGAAAATGAACTATATTCATGCTTTTCAGGAAAGCATAACATGGAAAAAAGGATCATATTGCTGTTTCGGTCAAGCCGTTTTAACACTATTACCGCCATCTTCACATAGTCCACAACTCTTCTTGCAGTTTGTCTTCATGTACTGAACAAGACCACCAATTTTACAGAATTGCCTTCTGGCATAGCCGGGGCAGCGAACGTCTATGTCGTCACAGCCTTTAGAAAGAGATATATGGTTTGTTATGGCGTCAACACGATCAGTTATATACATTATTTACCCTGCCTACATAAGGAAAAACATTCCACACCTTATATTAGTGGAAGGGCTACAAAATATAGATATATTTTTGACCCTTATTTGGGAATAACGTCCACTATGGTAGAAACATGCTCATCAAGTCATCCATACTATATAGGACAGGAAATACCTTTTTACATGGTGTTTAAGTTTTCTTCTTTCTCATAATAAAAACTATCCCTATTATCTCAGTTGCAAAATAATGGCCTAAATATCAAGATACAAAATATCAATATCAAGATGAACTTACTTTTTGCGAAACTTATCACGACGCCAATCCCAAGAAAGCATAAAAACGTTGACGCCTTCATTACAAAATGCACTTGAAACACCGTACGTACGAGATGGCCACTTTTGCTCCTATGAGTTCTTTTATAATATCTCTTGTGTTCTATATTGATCCAAGTTCTACAAGCTGTATATAATTCCAGAAAAGCAGACCAAGAGATTGACAGTTTACATTGCCTGAAATAGCTGAAATATCACGAGTTCCAACTGTTTTATAGCCGTTTAGCAAACAAGTGTCTCATACTTGCTAAATGTGGACAATAAAACGACATTATTTGCGTTGGGTGCCAGTGAAAGATGATTTGGTTTACATTAGTTAAATATATATTTTTCTAAATATAAAGCTAAGAGTTTGGGAAAAAGGAAATCTAGAAGAGAAAGAAAAAGGAGAAAAAGAAGAAAAAGAAAATCAACATTATTACTACGACTTGAAGGCTATTTTTAGATTTTCAAAATGCTAGCAAATCTTAGCCTGCGTGCAGCCGAACTAACTTACTGTACGAGAGAAAAATCCGGCTGCACGCAGGCTAGCAAAACTAAAAGCTAAGACAATTTCTCAGCTTTGATTAGTCAGATATCAGGAATATTTAAAGCCTGGTTCACACGAGCAACGTAAACGCAAACGCAAACGCAAGAAAAGTACGTGTGAACTACGGTAACACAAACGCACATGCAAACGCAAGCAATGGAAACTTTTTCATATTCTTGTGCTTGCGTTTGCGTTTTTAACGTGTGTACTGGAGAAAACGCAAACACAAACGCAAGACCTAAAATTGTGTTTGCGTTGCTCGTGTGAACCATATTTTTTTCGATATGAACAAGCACTACTGCGCATGTGTATCTTATTAATTTACTTGTATTTGCGTGGCACGTGTTTGAACATTGCTTGCGCTTGCGTTTGCGTCGCACGTGTGAACCAGGAATAAAGGTTTACAGACTCTTTTGTACAGAGCTGTACAAGTTTACTCTTGCTCAAGATAATTCACAATAGTCGATGCATCTGTAATGCCAATGCACAACTTGAACAAAACCATAGTTAACCGGAAAAGACTGATGTTTTAAATTTTTTTCCAAGGAGTTTTAATGGTATCTATAAATAGCTAACTTATAAAGGAGACTAAACGCGTAAAATGAGTCACAGCATCACGTAGTGTTCAAAAACAGCGCAATATCCATCGAAGGAAGATTATTTGCACGCGCGACTTGAAATGATCTTCATTGCTTCATAATCCCAAAAAAGTCAAAGAAAGATGCAAAAATGAAGGGAAAACAAAAACAAAAACAAAAAACTAAACACTTCATTGGAATAACATCTATATTAGCATTTTTATTTTACTCAAGCATTTGTGATGTCATGTCGTTCAACTATTCGATTCTCAGGTTTGTTTATTTTATTTTATTTAATTTTTTATTTTAGCATATTATACTAATAGGTTTAGTATCGGCTCATGGTGCTATCTACCCATTGCCTCAAGTAACGTACTCGTGCATACACTCCGTATTTTCCAGGAGCAGCACAACCATGGCCCCACGACACTACCCCCTCAAGGTAGTACTTGCCACCTGCCTCACACACCAGGGGACCTCCTGAATCTCCCTGACAAGAGTCCTTGCCACCTCGAGCGAAACCAGCACAGACCATAGAGTCATGGATAGAGCTACCATAGGCTCTTTTACATGTGGACTGGCTGACGACTGGCACAGAGACCTGCATGAGGACACGAGGTGAGGAACCACCTGAAGAGAGTCTTCCAAAACCTAAAAGCATCACAACAATTTTACTAATAAGATCAAGCGCATCAAAGCTAACAAAGCACCCTGGGGAACTAAAAGTACTGCAAAAATGGATCAAGGGAATCAAAGGAACTATGAAAGAAAAGCCAAATGCTTTATTGTTTTCGTCTCTGTTTCTCGTGGCCAACTCTACTCACATATGATCACCGGTCTAGGGATATAAAAACATTATCAAAGCAGTGACACGCCATTGGTGCTTCCCAGAATGTTGTTAACCTTGATATAACAATGACATAGATACTTGTATGAATGAAGACTTTGCTAAATATTCCTGCTAAATCTTTTGTTACCTACCTGTAACCCAACATTGTTTGCCATTAGCAACACTTCCACTAGATGATGGTAAGCAAGCCAGTCCAACAGCTTTGTTGACCCGAGCAGGTTTGTGCAGTTTTAATAACGAGATATCATGAGCCATGCCATAGGGTCTCTTGTAGCTGTGGTGGTTGACGATCCTGGCCACTTGGAAGTCTTGTTCGGTGCCTACGTTACCTGTTCGATAGTGAGCTCCAAGTCTGGAAAAAAGAAGCAATCAACAATTTATTAATATTTGATCAGCAACTTATAAGGGCGTTGAAACGTGGAACACTATAACCGTGCTCCGGAGTACCCAGATATGCAAATTAGGAGTTTTGACACCATATTTGGAATTACGAGTTTGGTTTCAAGATGACCACTACCCTTGTACCATTGACTGACTTGGTGTTAATTAGATATCCTTGTATATCGTTTAAGAGTTTGTTTTGCGTGTAATTATTATTTGACGGTATTTATCTAGTCTGCGCTTCAGCCGGCTGTATACGTAATTCAGTTTAACAGCATCATGTTTGAATAAACGAGTTATTATCATTATTACACATTTTACTCACTATATCGCTTCTCTCAGAATAGCAATGTCAATGGTATCGAAAAGCATCCAATCATTTTTGCTTTTTTTAAATTATATTATTCAGTCCATTTTTAAGCTCACCTAACACGAATGCTAGAGGCAGATTTGCCGGCAGTACAATGAGCTGCAGTGACAACCCATTGAGGATGAACTAAAGTGCCACCACAGAAGGAAAATCCAGAAGTAGTTCTGATCTGCGCTTGCCATGGCCAAGCTCCTTTTGGGGCTTCGGTTCCACCGACAATTCGTACATTAGGTTTGAACCCACACTGACCTGATCCACCGCTACCACCACTCCCTCCTGAGCCACCTGAACCACGTAATTAATAAAAAAAGGAAGAGGGTGTTGAGTTAGAGCTATGAAGGAATAAAAAGCTTCATGTGGAAAGTATGAATTCAAGAGGAGAACACAGAGGTGAGAAAAATAGAAAGAAAGAAACAACAAAAGCAAGAGAAAAGATATAAAGAAACAAAAATAAAGGAAAAACTAATAAAATAAAAAAAA